ACCAAGAAACAGAAATTTGCCAATCCTATCATCAAGTCTTAACTTAATAGAATCTAGATGTTAGATAACTTATACAAGTACAAACTCACCAATATATATTCCATTATAAACCAGAAAATGAAGTTTCAACTGTTTTGTTTAGACAAACCCTCTATTTTTGTAAGGCACCAATATAGCATTTGTTTAGAAAGGAGGCTGAGCTTTTCCAAGCACATTAAACCCACTTTCTAAATTAAGTTTTGAATAATGCAAAGATATGTGTTCTATGAGGTGTTATTAATTTTTTCCTCCAATCTGAACGTCAGCAGGAGGTTTGGGACACTATTGCACTAGGGGATTCTGAAACAACATGTGAGTTGTGAGGAGTGCACGCAGGTGCACTTTTGTTAATTTGCTTTCTCTTTTTTTTTTTTTTTTTTTGGAGGGGGAGGGGATTGGGGAGAGTTAGTAAAAAATGAGGTAGGCACAGACAGAGAGAAAATGAGAGATGCCTTTTAATGCTACACCACGCAGGAAATTCTCTTTTTTAGAACCATCTTTGGCGATTCCCATGTCATTAGTTCCAATTCCGATAACTTTATTCTCCGCATCGTATAATATCTGAACAATGGCACACCTTGTCATTCATACAGCCAACATAAAATTGAACAGCAACAAGGCAGATAAAATAGAAGTACCTCACTGGCAGCAAAACCTGGATAAATTTCTACTCCCAATTCCTCAGCTTTTACCCCCATCCATCGCACCAATTGACTTAAGCTACATAACAAGGTCCACGACATTAAGCTTTTATTATAAAATTGATGCCATTAAATGGGAGAAGAATTTGTAGCAAAAAAACCAGCCACAAGATGTAAAACAAATGTCTAAACAAAATGAGCACGTGTAAAACAAAACAAAAATAAAACGTGCAACTCCAAGTAACTTCTCATAATTTTCTCCCTCTTTTGTTGGCAACCCTAGATCAAAGGCATCAATCACTTGGCAATAGATTGTAAGGCTTTTAAATAATTTGATACATATTTGTAACTTTCATTACCTGTTTTTATTTTTTCCTTTTTACTTTGCCTTTCTGAAAGTTTAATGTTCTCATTGGGATTAAGTTTAGGTTTCTACATTCAACTGTTTTCCTTAGGCAGCAGATATCTAATATTGAAACATTTTCCTGTGTTCATTAATACTTTCTAGTTGACTTCAAACTGCCACATCTTATCCATTTACTTCCTTATTTAGCCTTTTTTTTTCTTTATACTCTTTTCTTTATTATTTTGAATTTTCATTCAAGGCTTATAAATATACCTAACTTATGAATATTATTATAAAAGTGTCCCATTATTCATATATTTTATCTAGAAAATGTTAATTTCATTGAAGCAATTGCATGTGCCCATAGGCTAATGTAACTGCTGTAGCTTAATTTCACCTGCAATCTATCATCTATGCAGCAAACAGTTGGCTGTCAAGTTTGTTATCAGCTTACTTTGATTATTAAAACAAAAAGAAAAAGACCCACTGCAATCTAGCTTAGATTACAAGAAGAAGTTTGAGGCATGGTACACAAGCATTAGAGAAATACCTAATAACATAGTTTCCTTTGTTATTAAATGGACAAGGAAGTGAAATTGCACGATCCTTTGTAAGAAACCAAAACTTGTCAGAAGACACAGGGATATTTATTGGTGCCTGCATGAAAAGTGAGCAAATGACATAGAGTAAAAGGGTAACAATTTTCATAATCTATGTATAGTCAGTGATATATCCTTCATTTTCTTGTAAAAGATAACAAGCAAGCAATCATTTTTCAGCTATAGATATAAACTAAGTGCTTAAAAGATGTTAGAAAGTATACAAGAGTTATGAAGGATTAGTACAATTGATGTTATGCAACAACAATTATTTGAGTTATGAAGGATTCGTACAATTGATGTTATGCAACAACAATTATTTCCCATAGACTTCAGCGAAGATTTGCAACAATTTGGCCAAGCAGAAACATGAAAAATGGTTAAAGAACAAATTTTGTGAGGTTTCTTGTCTTAACTTGAAAAAGACCACGTAGGGAATGCAACCCTTTCCTACATCATCCACATAAGCCATACAGGGAAAAGGGATTCTATCTTATGTCAGAAATTATGTAAGTCTCATATGCATGGTTGAGATCGCCTATGTTACTGGCCAGGTTCAAGTATACCAGTCGTTAATATACGATGAATAAATGAACATATTCTAAAAGGAAGACACAAAAAGAAAAGGCACCTCTTCCTGTTTCCATTGTGGGAGAAGCTCGTTCAATGCCCGAGGTTCAAAAACATTTCCAGATATGATGTGAGCACCTAGAATCACATACAAATAACATTTTTTGCTAAGCAATCACATAGAAATATTAAGAAATTTTTGTAAATGCTCAGAGCTAAACTTGCACATTCTGGAGCATCACAGACTCCAAGAGAACTTGCATTGAACCAGTATACCATACAGTTCCAAGCTCAACTGTCATAATCTAATGCACTCTATAATACGGTCATGCGATTGTGTTCTATTATAAGAAAATATTATTTTTCCTAAACCACATTCTGACATCAACTCACATAAGTCTTTTGGCCCCTCTTTAGTTTCCAACAACATTTGGATGGAAATATGTTACACCCTAACAGTTATACTCAAGGGCACCCAATCTCAACAACCAAGCCATCATTTTCCAGGTTCATTTCTCAACTACTGTGACCTAACCTTATTGCAGATGCTTAGTTTCAATTTTTGTCTTCTCTCACCCCTGCCATTCTCTTGGGCCTATACTGATGATCCAATTGCAGACATTCAGACATTGTCATTTTTTCTTTTTTCAGATTTTCTTAGAGATATTACAGTGTTATTCTAAGCATTCATATTTCAACTTCCAAACAGATTACTTTATCACATTAATCAAATGAACACAAGTAAACGATAGGAATTGAAATTCAAACAGCGGGAAGAAAAAGTGTACAATCCAGATTAAAAAAAAAAGAGTAATAGAGTCAACATGACCAAATGATTCAAAATGCCATTCACAACTCAAACTACACACAGGCAACGTATGCCACAGTTAAACACCTATGTTTGCACTCAAGATAATTAAAGTTTATCAGGCAAACGTTAAAGAAGACAACACCTCAATGAACAAAATCCCCCAAAAGATGACGGAAACTTACCAACTTCAGCACCTTTTTCGACAACACAAACTGAGAAATCAGCATTCTTTTCCTGACACAATTGCTTAAACCTTATAGCCGCAGATAAACCAGCAGGACCAGCCCCAACGATGACAACATCATACTCTATAGACTCCCTATCAGCTTCACTACTAAAACTCCTCACTTCCCCAACTAAACCCTTCAACCTTAAAAACCCATTTCCATCTCTTTCATGTTCCCTCAAATTAGAACGATTTGGAAAGTACCCAGATGAGAAAAACCAATGAAGACTGATCCTGGAGCCTAAAGAAGCCGACTTTTGATTCAAATAGTGAAAACAGGAGTGCCTATTTGGAGTGGGAGAGGAAATTGGACAAGTAAAGGGAAGGTGAAGCTGCTTGTGGTTTCTGAGAGAGGTTGATTTGGAGGATATTGACAGAAATCTGTGCATGATTGATGAAAGATTGAAGAGAAAAAGGAAATGTTTTTTTTTTAAAAAAATTCTCTGTGATTAAAGATTGCAAGGTTTTGATATTTAAATGTTTAGCATACATGTACCGGCTTCACTGGAACTGACGTGCCGTGCCAATCTCCTCCTAGTTTTGTCCTCTCCTGATCTCAGTGAGTTTGTGACGGTTGGCATGAAAGTACATTCGGACGTTTAGTGGTACGGGATAAGATAAGAGACACAAACTTCAACATAGATCTGAATTAGTGTAAGAATTTTTTTTTTTAATTTTTAAGAGATAAAGAGTAAAATAAAGTAAGATAAAAACATATCATAAATTTCATATCAATAAGATATGAGGTAGATGGTATATAAATATGAATAGTTTATTATTTGTTAGGTTTATTTTTGAATTAAAAAATAAACTCATAATATTAAAAGTTGGTTATTTTTTAATCAACATTTTTTATAGACTTTATTTATTTATATAGGAGTATATAAAGAGATAAGGATAAGTTTTAATTTTAGGAACATGATGATAAGTTTTTGGAATAATAAAAGTAGGATAACATAATAATTTCTCTTCTATAGTTATATGCTCAAATGTTGCATGAGTTCACCAGATTTAAAATTAAAATAATTTTAATAAGCATTCTTAACTTATTCTACATTTATTTTCTGTGTCCAAAGCAGATACAATGAGTTAATTTATAAATGAATCAATAATTATTATGTTTAATGCAGGAGTTGGAATCTGTACACTTACATTAGTATCAGTCTTGTACATAAGAAATTCCAGTGTTATTTTGAATTTTCGATTGATAAATTGTGGTTTCGTAATCAGCTTTTTTAAGTCAAAACTGGGAGAAAACCAGAAGACACAAACCTATTGAAGTTGTTTCCAGACAATTACTAGCGTTTCCATTGCTTTACTTTGATGTCTGCATCCAGATTTAAACAAATTACTTTCTGTTCTGGATTTAACTTTCAATCTCAACTTGCATACCACCATGCTCTATAGTTAAAATCTTTCCGAAAGATATAACACAATGACAGATAGAGGAGCAGTACCATGCTGAGTGAATGACTTGATTTCATTATCCAAACATCTGGAGCAACGGAAATCTGCTAAAAGAGATTTCAAGCAACAGTAAGGCAAACAGAATCAGGAGTGTAATCACTAGAATAAAAAAATACTCATAATTTTTTTACTACACAATGATTAATTAGTAGCAGACACTTACTGGGCAGCATTCATTGATCTACTAGAGAAAGAAGGATAAACAGTTTACAAAGGCAAAGGAAAGACACTTGAATGGAACATATTACATATTCATAGATTGACAAACACAATATCCAGGGGTATTGAAGGTAGGATGTGCTCAAGGGTAAGGGAGGGTAGCGATGTGATTATGAGCCACAGTTCCAATCCATAGCTTCCCTTGTATTTCTCTAACTTCACTGACTAGCTTCATAACCACACCACTTGGATCCTCAAGAACTTCCAGAATTTCTCCCTTCTCATTGAAGAGTGAGATAACGGTGTACATCCTCATCCCTATTATTCTGGCTAAGACACTCATTCTAAAAGGTAACCTGAAGTAGAGGCTCCTCATCCATGGATTGTGGGTGAGAACTTCTTGTGCTGGAGTGCGGCAACAGTCTATTGCTACCCAGAATTGACCTCTGTCATTTATTCTTACATTGTCTGGAAAACCAGGTAGATGAGCCACAAGTTCCACAGTACCACTTTTTGGACCTTCTAGCCAGTATTTCATTAGCCTGTGACCATGAGACACAAATTAGTAACAAAGAACAGAATAAGTTCTTTGTACCAGAATTATAAATGCTAGGTTAGTTCACAGTTAGTTAATATTCTCTTAGGCAAACTGATTGATATGGATGTTGTCAGGATTTTATGTTAGGTTAATTCTAACTTTTGCAGAAAAAAGAACAGCTTTCCTTTCAGGCAGTCAGCAGATAGTATACTGAGTCATCAATTTTCATGTTAATGAAAATGAAGATTAAAGGGGCAAATAATTCATATATTAGAAATTAAAGGAACAGAAAATTGGGATGGGAATTGCCTGCAATTGGTAGTCTCAGTGAAAACGAGGAAAGTTTGGTCCATAGAAAATTGCACTCCATTTGGAAAAGCCAAACCATCCAAAACTATATGAGTTGTCTTAGTAGGAGGATCATATCTGAGAAGCCTGCCAGTTGCTTCTCCTTCTAACAAAATGAAGAAATGATTCCTGCCCAATAATCTGCTGTAAGTATCTCCACGTATTAGAACTCAAACAACAACAGATATAATTTGTTCACTTACACTCTGTTGTACTTTTTGCTAGTATCAGTGAAAAAGATGGAACCATTCCTATGGATGTCCAGGTCATTTGCAAAGAGTATTCGTTTCCCTTCCACATGAGTTGCCAAAGGTGTGGCAAGTCCTCCGTCAGGCCCAACCATGAGCAATCCGTAGTAGGCATCAGCAATGTACAAATCTCCGCTCTCTTTGTTGAACCTTAAGCCAAGAGGACGGCCACACCATTTCTCATGTTTCCACTGCTTAGCTGTAGTTGAGTCAGCACCTCTTGCACATAGCTTCTCTGACCTTTTGAGCATATTTCCAGCATAATAAGCATGGATTAAGGATAAGATAACTATATGTTTCCCAGGCTATGTCTAAGATAATTAATCTTGATTGCTTGGTATATCTTAACTTTTGATCTATTGCATATTCATGTGTCTAATTTGTTTTCCTAATATTACAAAATGTTAGTTGTCTGTTTCTCATCCTTCCTATCAAAGTCAAGTTTAAGTATGCAATCTTTCCTCTGACTGTAAAGAAAATATTTTAAAGGAAGAATTAATCTGGATTCTATGGTTAAGTTGGTACATGCATACGACATTGGAGTGAACTCATCAACAAAACCTCACCAGTTTGATGTTACAATGGCAAATGTCTCCCATCCAATATCCTCACCCATCCATCTAACAATGCGCCCATCAGCTAATCCAGCATAAGGGCCACGCCCTAAGCTGTCAAACTCTAATGACTCAGGGCCATAAACTTCATCCACAAACTCCAGTTTCCCATCTCCTAACCGGCTTTTGTTGTCTCGAGGCCAATTACCCATGACTTCCTTGTATGGTGCGATGTCATGCTTCACTGGCCTGAATTGAAGGCCTCCGACGGGACCTAGTTGGAAAGGATCCATCATAACAAAACCAAAAGCCAGAACAATGATAAGGAAAAATGGGTGCTGCAAAAAAGTCCCATCTTTGTTTTGGCCTTTCTTCTCCATGGGATGTTTGTCAGATTAGAGAAGCAGAGAGATAGAGAAAGAAAGAATTGCTCTTCTATGGTGATGACATATCAGATGCTAAGGGTGTAAAAGGTTAGTGTTTAGGTACAAGGCTACATAACTTGGTAGGAATTCATTGATTAAGAAGTAGAGAACATGCATTTGATGTGGTAACATTGAAGATGGAAACAGGTTGCATATTGTTGGTCATGATTGTTGCATGGGAATATCAATGGAGTTTTTACCTCAAATGGTAATCTACTATGATGATTGTCACATCATTGATTTGTTTGAAACTACTTAATTTCATGCAATTTATACCTACTTCCATTATATTTACACCATCATTTTTTTATCTCAAAAATTGTAACCTAACTGATCAGTAGAATGCAAGAACAATGCTGAACGCACTCTTACGTGCAGGAATTTAACAAACAAATCATCTGCAATTCCTTTATGGAAAACCCAGTTGCCTGATAAAAGATTCTGTTTGCCATTTTGGACATGGAGGCAATGGGGTCTCTTGCATAGGACAATGCGTCAGTTGGCTCTTGACACTTAACGAAATTTTCAGGGGGATTAGAATTTGATTTGGAACATTAATTATGGAGGTTAGGAGTTCATCACATCTGTCGAGGTGACACCCCAACCAATTAGCTATTTATATCCAAGAGATTAATATCAAGTTTAGCACCAAAAACGTAGTAGACTAATTTGATTTAAATTAAACTCATCTGTTCGCTATAAGTGACATAGACTGTTGCTCACCGTTAAGTGCAACATTGGTAGGATTAAAATTCTGTAAATATTGCGGGAAACAAGATAAACCATAAAGTGGAGGAAATTTGAAAAAAAAAATCAAATAAGGGAAAAATAAGAGATAAAAATGAAAATTACCATTTTTCATGAGAATTATTATTATTATTAGTTAAACATTAAATATTAATATTTTAAAATATAAGGATTTATGTGTAATTATTTTAAAATTGGATAATACCATTAGTTTATAATGAAATTTAAAAATATTCTTTCATCTCATTCTATAAAAAAATTAAGAAAAATCAATTTCGAATATAACAAAAGTAAGAATATTAAATGTTAAAAGAAGAATGAATATGATAAGTCAAAAACATTTATGTAATCTTTTGACGAATTGTTTTACATGTATGCTTTTTTCAATATCTTATTGGTATAAGTCTTATAGTAATATTGTTTCAATTTTATTAAGTAATGTTATAAAAATTTTATTCTTATGCGTTATTTTAATATAAATATACTAGTTTTATTTTTTTTATAAAAATATAAATTTAATATATTTTAAAAAATAAAGATAGCAATAATTAAAAATTCATTTTCAAAGTCCAAATATTAAGTACTACTAACTAATTAAGTTAAAAATTGAATGAAGAAGACTAATGGCAATCTGTCAGAGATGACTGTTACCGCTTACCGGTTCAGGCGGTACGATTCCAGTATCTTGCATTCCTATTCGTGACAGGTTGGCGTTTCAAAACCAATAAAGCAAGCAATTACCTCAAAATGAAAAAAGAAGAAGAAAATTGAACAAGGAAAAAGAGGAAGGGAAGAAAGCTCCCTCTCAATAAATCACAAAATAAAACCCTAATTAAATACCTTTGATCCGCAATATCTGTGGAATTAGGGTTTTTAAACTCTCTCGATTGCTTTACATTCCTTCCCTCCAACTCAAGGTTAGAGGTTTTTGCTGCTCTTCTTCTTCTTCAGCTTTCTTTCATAATGATTTTGATTGTTTTTCTCTTTTGCATTTAATCTTTTTTTTTTTCATTTTGTTGATAATAATTTTTTTTTTAATGCTCAATCGACACGCAAAGTAGAACGTAAATAGATTAATATGATTGCTGTTTTTTCAATTTGATAGTATGTTGAACTTTTTTGTAGTTTTTAACTAATTTACCTGCTTTTTTTTTTCTGAACATTTTCTTTGTTGAATTATAAGATATGCATATTTATACTTGTAGTTAATCAGCTTTTCTTCCGTGTTATAATTCAAGAACCATAAAGGAAGCTTCAAAATAAATAATTGTTATAAAGAAACCTTAAAGAAAACAATGATTTCCCAGAAACGTTTCCCAGTTTTTCTTGTGAAACAAACAGATGCTTAGGAAGATATTATGCTGGACCTTTTGGAATTGCTTTTCTGTACTGCCTTTTGTTTATTTAGGTATTTATACCTTTTTTTTTTCTCTTCAATCTGGATATAGGTATGGTGATCTTTGGCTTGTGTGCTAAGATTATTTTCATTTGGTGTTGTAATATCTCTGTTTGTTTCAGAATTTCAATTACTATATAGTTTCATGCTAACATTGAAGCAGAAACTGTCATATTTTATTGACCTCTTGATGGTTCAAGGTGGGTAGTTGTTGTTGTTGTAAAACTTCTAAATAAGGTAGTACAAGGCCATTAATGAGATAATTAAGTTGGCAAATAACCCAATACCCAGTTTGTTAGGAGGTCATATATTTGGCTTTGAGTTACACCTGGAGCTTATAAAGATCTATGAGACTGGACATTTCATAAGGTGCTATGGATTTGGACCACATTAGATAATATTTTCTCTCTTGATGTTTAAATAATTTATATTATGCCAATGGAGCTTTTCCAAGGGAAACTCTTATAATGATATCACAGTTTTAGAGATTGTTAGGAGTGATTGTAGCTTTCAAGGGACTCATAATTTATTCTGTATGATGTTAGTCCTGTGTCCGGACTTCATTTGGCATTGCATGTGTGAATTATCATCCTGCTGCAGTACCATTATTGGATAGTGCTAGTCCTTTTTTGGTTTTTCATTTTTATTATAACTTTCATCTGGACTTAGTTCATGTAGAGGTGCCATGTTACTTTGGTAACAATGTGGTGATTTTGTTTTATTTCAGAAACTAGAATGGTGTGCCAATATAAGTCATAATTCTATTTCTGTGTTACTTTTTATATCCACTGTGATTTCTTATGTGTATACACTACAGGACACATGGCTAGTGCTGAAGGAAGCAATGATCCTGAATGGGTAGAGAGAGTGAGATCAGAGGGAGCTGTTCCACTACTTGAACCAGATAACTGTCTAAATGGTTGGGCATGTCCGCCTGGGGATAACTTCATGGTAAGGGGTCCAGAGTACTTGTCAACCAAGGTTAAAGTCCCTGGTGGTAAATATCTTCTAAAGTCTCTTGGCTTTGACTGGGTTAAAACTTCCACAAAGCTAGGGGAGGTCTTGAGCCGTCATGATAACCGTGTTAGGAAAGTTGTTGATGATGCCTTTCCAACAGGTGATAAGCCTTTCATCTGGGCATTCAATCTTCAGCTCCCAACTAAGGATAACTACAGCGCTGTAGCTTATTTTGTAGCCACAGAGCCTATTCCGGAGGGTTCTTTGATGGACCAGTTCTTGAAAGGTGATGATGCCTTTAGAAATTCAAGGCTTAAATTGATTGCAAACATTGTCAAAGGCCCATGGATTGTAAGAAAAGCAGTTGGAGAGCAGGCAATATGCATCATTGGACGTGCCCTTTCTTGCAAGTATTGTATATCTGAGAATTTTTTGGAAGTTGATATTGATATTGGATCTTCCATGGTTGCAAGTGCAATTGTTCGTTTGGCATTTGGGTACATCACAACGCTGACAGTTGACTTGGCTTTTCTTATTGAGAGTCAAACTGAATCAGAGCTTCCCGAACAACTCTTAGGAGCTGTACGGTTCTCCGAACTGAACCCTGATTCAGCTCAGTTGATTGAGCTGTCAACAGGTGGGAGCAGTGGGAATACGCAGGCATCACTGCCAACTCGCTTATGGAAGTCATTTGGACAGGGATTTTCTCATCTTCTTCATCCAGGTGCTCAAGAAAGTGATTCGATCTCTTCTTCAACCCATGTTAATGGCACTGCTGGTCATGATGAAAGTGATGGAGATCTTAAGAAATGGTGAGCTTTCATGTCAAGCTCACAGTTAAAAATTTCTGAAGTTGAATGAGATGAAAGTTGGAATTTTGCTGTGTCTGGTTATACAAGAAACTAAGTTTGTGTCTATCAAACAACAAAAAAGGAAGAAAGAAAGAAACTAAGCTTGTGGCACACCTTTGAAGAGGGTGACGAGGTTTTTGATAAATAGCTCAAGGGTCTGCACATGATCTTTCTTTTTTCAGTTTTTTGCCTCCCCGAGTCCACCTAAAAGGAAACAGAAAAAAATAACCCTCACATCCCCCTTGTTTCTCTTCTAATTGCACACAACTTGCCTGAGGTTGTCACCATCGATTTCTTGATGTTTTCGACACCATTTTCCCCAGCAACAATATCAAAGCCATAATAGAACCCCAAGTTTTGGATGTCCTTGTGTAATATGCTTGTGGGAAGTAGCAGGTTTATTGATGTTTTTAATTAGTTGTCCTTCTTAAACTTTCTAAAAGATATTGGATTAGAGTAACCATTCCCTAATTTTTTAGGCCCTCCCTCTTTTTTGTCAGTTATGTCATGTTTTGGTTTCTGCTCTGTGAAGAAGTTTGGTGGTATGTACTAACTGTTGATAAGTCTAGTTTATGCCGTCCCTTTTTTCCATGCCCAAAATGATTATCCATCTCTTGGACTCGTTGGTTTACGTGTATTTGTACTTTGACACTGCACAAATTTAGTGTTTCAGAGTGTTATAAGTGAAGAAACTATTGGAAATTTTGCAGATCAACGGGATGCTCTCAAACGGCTGAGCACATTGCTGTTGCAGGAGCTTAATTTTCGATTCTTTTCAGATTTATTGGGGTGCAATCTTTTGGAGATTGGCCTAGGCATTGACAGAATCTCATTCTATTGGTATTTAGTGATAGATTTTGTAATTTCATTCCGTTTACAGTTAGTCAACCACACGTTTGTGTATCAATACTCCTGCCTATAAACCATCTTTTAGCTGTATGTTGGGCCTCCTTTCTGCCTTGTATACTTTGTATCCACCTCATTCACAGGGAGAAACAATCCTGCTCGGTTATACGTACTGATGGGTGCCTGTTACCATTATGTGTGTGTTTATATATATATATATATATATACTATACAATTTTGAGACCAAGGTGTGGAGAGAGAGATATGGAGTTGAACCTAACTTTTTGAGCAGAGGAAATTATGCATCGACAATTAGGTCATTAAAGCAAACACCCAAGTACACGACAGGGTACTTTCCTAGAAATATCATCTCCTACTATTACAACTCAGCATTGTTTTTACTTCTTCCAATCAAACCTCAAAACTTGAACCGGCAATAACAAAACAAAGCAATAATAAAGGAAGACCACCACTCCTGCAAATCTGCAGACAAAGATCTACTACTGTTTTATTTTTCAGTAATTTTAAACAAGGAATTTGAAGGGCTTCTTTCTCTGAACTTTTTAATTGATAAGAAATTAGGAGAGGCTAAAGATGAAAAAGAAATGGACTAAAAAAAGCAATATAAGGCCAAAGACAGGCAGAACACAAATTAGTTCAAGCTCAGGCATCAACTAAACTACTATCCTGCTGGAACTGATTTTTAGCATAGCTGATAACTACAACTCCATACTTCCTCTTCCTTTCTGGGAAGGGAGGCAGGGATGTCTATCAGACCTGAACCCAGGCATAACCTAGATTCATCCATCCGCTCAGATAGTAAAATATAGGGGGGAAAGAGAAAAGAACCTTGGAATTCACTGAAAAAATGATTCTCAAAGGACTTGCTGAGGGTACAGGCTACAACAATAAATTCAAGGAAAATTGCAAATTATTCTCACCCGTTGTAACCCTAGCAACAAGTTTTCCCTTGCCCTTCTCACCTTATTAACAACAATCAATTTGCAGTTGTTTCACGAAAAAGCAGGGTTTCTTTTCATATCACTCTGTTAATTCAATATCTAACTCCATTTTTCTAAGTTTCTCTTACTTCTCCTGTGTTTTTCATTTCTTTCTTAACCTCTGACAAGATCCAACAGAAGCTTAAAAGAATATGTTATTAGCTTATTGCACAAGGCGCAGAGGACAGATTGCTTCAATCAAAAATGTAAAGAAACACCCACCATCACGATTACAGTGCAAGGCTGAGATGCCTCAATGGAAAGTTTATGCATCACTGCTAAGAAATAAGATGAATATTTGGAATTTGTCCACACAATAATCATTTAAGGGAATTTATATAACTCAGCAGGTTCATATGACCAATAACTGAATAAATGGTCATCAGACAATGTCATATCACTCGGCGGCAAATTATATTACCATTTCTCACTATCCAAACTCACAAGTCACTGCAACTATTTCCTACCAGGAGAACTCTGGATTTAACTGAATCTAGAAACAAAATTTAAATAAATACATCATTTTTCTCCATCAAGATATTCAATAATTATATAAACTGTCGATGAATTTGAATTTCAACATTGTAAACAATTTTTTTCACCATTTCTTAAAAGAATGGTAGAAGAGAATAGAAACTGTTTTAAGTTTAAACTATCAGGAAAAGAACAACAAACTTTGCGTAAGTGAGCAATGATGATCAGTAACTTGCAACCTACACTGGGTTGCGAAGAAATTCATGTAACATATTTATAAGTTTAAAAGAAGACCTGGAAACTTGTGTGATCACAGCAGAGGAAAGCAATGAATCTAAAACATCTAATGACCAAGAATATCCCAGTTGTTCCAACTTTCAATTAACTGTGTAGCCCAGCAAAGCACAATCACAAAGTATTGTCCAGGGATGACTCGATAATTTATGCCTACATTGTACATATAATGGCAAGGTCTTGACAAATGGACTAAACAATTTCAACGCCTTCAACTGGAATTGTACTCATCTGCAAGGTTCTACCATTTCCAATAAACCGAACAGAAGGCAATGAAGGATCTGTAACAGATTCAATCTCGAGAAAATTGAAATCATATGCACCAGAACGCTTCAAACTGAATACAAAAACAACTGCAACCCATCCCAGCATGGAAACTGCCCAATAGTTAGTCATCCCATGAATCAAACCCCAAGCTATAGCATACCCAACAATAATTCCAGATAAATGTCCAAGAAAACTTGCTTGCGGAACAATGATTGAAGTGAAAATCAATGACTCAAAAGGTGCAAAACTAATAGGAAGTGAAAGAAATCCAAAAAGATCCAACTTCGATGAAGGTTGCTTCACAGACAAAATTGTCATCCACCCAAAAACAACACAAGAATACCCAACAGCTGTCACTCGCCGGAAATACTCAATCTTAAACCGCTGAATTAAGAAATGGTACATTCCCAACACAACCAGACCCGATAATACAATCAAAACAAGAGTATACTGAAGATAATACGCCACTCCAAGACCCAAATGCCCTAATTGCTCCACAATCCCAAGACTCCAAAGGGCGCTCATATTGAAAACAAGGTGAATAACACTGATATGTGAAAAAGCTGAAGTAATTATCCTCCAATGGTGTCCTTCGACTGCGGTTTCATAACTTAAACCAACATGCTGATAACCAATGTGCTTCTTCTGTATGTAAAACCATATTACACTACATATTCCTATGATACAACTTGTTGCTGGTTTCTCCAATATCTCATAAAATAATGGCCTCCCCATTTCTGCTAGAATATAAAACTCCTTCAACTTTCTCCTTTTACTTAATTCAATCTACAGAGCAAAACCCAACATTACAATCCACATAAAAATCATAAGCCCATCAACACTTCACCCAAAAGATCACTCCTTCTGTAGTGCAAAATACGGAGAAAAAACTAATTTTTGACAATGTTTTGAACCAACCAAAATCTTGCACCGACTAAAACAGCCCAGATCTAAAATAGCCAATACTTTTCAACTATCTATCACTTCAATACAGAAAAAGAAAAAAGCAGCAACATACGAACTGGGTTTATTGAGAGCCAATCAATTAACCACTTCAAGCAAGAGAAATCAAAGAAAAATTCGAGGAGATTAGACGTTAAAAAAGAGGGAGATAGGGGGATCTTACTTTCCCTGCTTTGGTTGTAAAACCGAGTCAGGTTTCCCGGTTGCCTCCCTTGATTTTGTTTCTGTTTTCATCTTTTTGTTGTTTTTATTTAACTCTACCAACAGGGCAACAGAGAATATTTCAATTCGATCATTGATCAACCATGCCTCTCAGACTCCCACTCCCTCTGGACTTTTCTGCAAATTTTATTGTTTATTTAAAAGAGTATTCAGAATTACCAAAGTACCCTTGTTACTTTTCTTTTTCGTCTTCTTTATTTATATTTAATGAGAGAGGTTTTTTTTAATGCTACTCGTCGATTGATAGAGAAACATTTTAATTTAGATAAAATTAATATAATTTTTTTATTAGAAAATAAAATAGTACCTATCATACTTATGGACAGTAATTTTACATATTATTTCTTTGTTTATGTATAATACAACAATAATAGTAATTAAGATTATCATTAATTATTGTATTTTATAGTGTAATTATTTTAAACAATAAAAGTTGATTTTAATAAAGTAATAAAAACTGAGACAGGATACTTTTATTCTTATACCTTTACAGCAAGATTTTAAGAAAATTAATTTCAATTTTATGATACATCTTACTTAATTATATTAAATTATAATAAGGTTATACTTGTTGTTACATTGCATTATTTTTATAATCATTATAATTTATTTCAAGTTGATTATCATACTTTTTACTCATTTTACAACAAATTTTATGTGTTTTTATCTTTATTGTTTGTGCTAAAATTTAATTAAAATATTTTTTTAATATTAACATTTCACTTAAATGCGTGAAGCTCTATATTTTTATCTCTAAACATTCTTGATAGCTTAGAATACAAATTACTTGAAAATATTTTACAAAAACTAAATATTAGATTTTCTTTTTTACAATAAAGTTATATCCTTTTACTTTTTATTCTTACACATTTATGTTAAGGTTTTAAGAAAGATAATTTTAACTTTATAATACAACTTTTATTATTTCCTTTAAATTATAATCAAGTTACACTTATTTATTTCTTTCATTACATTTAGAATAATTTATATTTTATTTTAAATTGATTAAAACATTTCTGTTATTAAAAGCATTAATTACTGAAAAGTTAGCCGTAAGTAAAGGTATTTATTTGCAAGGCCAAGTTCAAATTTAGCTTTTGTATCTAATTGTGAGGGTCGGGGCATAGCTGTGCTTGGAATCCCAAACCTCAACCCATCTATATCCTCAATAATTATTTATTTTCTTCTTAAATAACAATAAAATTAGTAAAATATATTATATACTTGAAATGCTTAAACAAATATGAAATTTTTGGAATGAGATTACATGTACAAGTGAAAATTACAATCCAATTAAGTATTACTTAACATAAATGGTATGATTATTAAATCTCAAAAGAAATCAACAAACGAACTAAACAAATCAATTAATAAACCAACATAAGGTCGGATGAAGTCCACACTTGATGAGGCTAAATCTAAAGGTTTTTAAACCTCTTTTGTACTTTGAAGATAAGATTTCATTGACAAATATAAAAATAATTAATTAAGTGAGATTTTGAAATCTTTTTCGATTAATTGAACTGAAATTATCACTGCCTTAACATTTATTTTATCTTTTAAATTTTGGTAACTAGAGTGGAACGGAATTGATAAGAGTTGCAAATCAAGAATAAAAATCTTCTTTCTCAATCCGTACTGCATTTGGTGCTTCTCTTATAATTTGGTGTCACATGTCCAGTAAATTTTTGTTCATTAACATCCATCTTAATGTCGTTACTTGTTATTGTTTCCACCGACCCTAGATATTAACCTCAATCTTAATTAACGATCAATGCCGTCATCATTCTCATGCTTATGTACAAATCAATATGAGGTATAAGGCTTTTGAGTACTCTTTTTCTTCTAATCATGCTTATTAGAGTTAGAATCTTCAGGTGAATAAGAACACTTGTGTTTGCTCTTACTACGATGCTTATAAAAGATCTCTATTAGCAATCAATCCTTAGACCCAGCTATACCAACACAAAATTTTGACACAAATGGGACCTTACAGCGTCAACATGGCTGTAAAAGTGAAAATAAGAACTTCAAACAAGGTGAAACATATACCCTGTATGTAAAAGTGATTCTTAATTTTGATGAAAGATTCTTAATAAATAAAAATTTATTGGATGGGTGACACCAAATTAGAAGAAAATCACCAAATGAAGCACAAAGAAGGGACAGATGATGATTTTTATTACAAATGAACGGTGCTCCTCCTTCTTCTTTCAGAAAAGGAATCAATGAAGAAAGCATGGCATTTATCATTTTGATAGTTGCATGCTATCAATGCTGGCATGCGTTTGGTGCGTGGTCATATGAATTTGGATTCTTATCATGATATCTAAGTATAATTGCATAAGTTCATTTAGTCAGCACGAGAGTTTGGTGAGGCATATAGGTCAAAACAAGTATCAAATATTCCATATCCAACTATATCAACCGTTTGCATGATTCCAATGTTAGTTAAGTCAATTTCAATTCTTAATGTCGATTAGTCCTGCTTGGATGTAACTAAAGCAACCAGCTTTCAACACATTCGTTCTATATGGTTCAACCACCCACCTTTTACATTTCGCCATTATCTGCCTACAAAAAACTTCCTTCACTCACCATTTAACCATCTTTTCTCCCTATGCCAAACACCAAAGTCATCCCGATCATAATCCAGAATTGGTCCGATATGCATCCTCACCAGGATTCTCTCAAACTCACGGATAAATGGGAAGATGACTACGGGAGTGGCAACCGCCATGGCCGCGATTATTGGCATGCTCGACGTGCGTTCTTGAAGAGTTACCATTTTAAGGAACAAAATGGACTCAAAGATAAGCTGAAGAGATCTATGAAGGAGATAAACGAGGCAGCCATAGGTGTGATTACCAACTATTGTCGAGAACTGTCCAGGAGAAGGCTCGGGGTTAGGGTTTTCAGGGTCAGGTTGGGTATGCCATCCCTGGGTCTTGTAAGTATGAGATGTTTCACTCCTTGGTTGAACAAAAAAGGGTTGATGTAGTTAGTGGTATGCTCATGACTATCAGCAATTACAAACCAGGCAGGTCAACAAAACCCATGGAATTTGAAGGGGATAATGTGGCTAAAGCTATACTTGCTCTAGTTCTGCAAATTTAACTCTCTTTCTACTTATCTGGATATATTTATGTGAAATTGGTATATGAACATTCTGCTCGTCTAGTTCTCTCTTTCAACTTTACAATTTGCACGAATTTAATATAATTGCCTTTTATTGCTTTCAAATTTAAATGAAATTAAATGGGGTTTATTTGTATTAACCTCCTTATTTAGGTTTTAGTTTTAGGATCTGTGCACGTGTAAGGTTAATTTATTTAGCTAGACACGTATTTGATGACAATCTTGGTGTTCAAGATTAGGAAATCTAGTGGAAATATCAGCGGAACCTTCCCATGCGTGATGTTTGCCCAATTCTACGATAATGATATTGCAAGCCAGGGACTCAAGACTTTGATAATTATAATTTCTTTTTATTATAAAAAATTATTATATATTGTAACAAAACATGTATCTCATTAAAAAATTAGCAATAATTTACTACAGGCTAGTACATATACAAAATCTTTGTTGGTCAATGACTCTGCATGGATTGTTGAAGTCGGCTTCTGTTTAATTTCGAGCTCCAAAAGAGAAAAGGATTTGCCTGGAACCGTCATTGTGTCATATATTTACATTATCCCCACTATATATATAAAAGCCCCACACCTCCCATTCGTTGCTATTTCATTGTTTCCAATCAATATTCTCAAAAGAAGAAGAAGAAGAAATCTTGGTTTAGATGATTGATACCATGTATTCAGCATCCAAAATCAGTTGGTTTGTGAGAAGAATAGGGCGAAGCAAGTCCAAGAAGTACTACAGGCGGCTCGAGGAGGAGGGTGAGGTTGGGAAAGCAGCCCCACTTGAAGCTCGAGAAGGTTACGTAGCCATGTACGTGGGCGAAGAGGCTAAGAGGTATGAAGTCCCGATCAAGTATCTTTCTCTTCCAACGTTCAAGGAACTGCTGATGCAATCGCAAGAAGACTATCTTGATGCCAAGATCGAAGGACCGATCCTTATTTCATGCACCATCGAGAATTTCGATCAACTGTTGAAGAATGCCAAGCACTTGCAGTTGGATCCAAGATGTTCTTCGAGTTCGGTTGACTAAAGTTCAATGGATGCAAACCACAACACAACAACAAGAGGTCAAAGACGATTTTCTTTCTTTCTTTCTTTCTTTTTTTGTATTCGCTGATTAGAATCAAGAATAGTACATTTGATTTGATTTTCTTTCATGTAGTCAATTTTCTAAATATTTGTGTTCCAATATTGTGATTATTATTCATAAAAAATTCTTTTCAACTATTTTTATTATATTTTCTGTTTAGTTGTTTCATCGAAATCATTCCAAAATCAGAAGCCAGTCGATGCCATAGCATGCAAATGCAACATAAGATTTGAATCCAGTGGCTATATTACTAAAGAAAATATTATTAATTTCTACTGAAAACTGAAAAAGTTTCAATTTAATTACTTGACGATTCAGGTAAAATCAAAACATTTTTAATAATAATTTTAAATATATAGATGTATAAAAATAGAAACAAATTAAAGAAATTCAATATATTTGTAAATTAAATTGTGTATTTTTAAGGATTATATATATTACATAATTAATAGATCAGGGCAGTTTAATGTTTGATTGCACTACATTACATATATATTGATAGCATTGACAATTAAATAATAAAAATCATCCAAATCAATTACATGCGAAATAAATTTGACACATAAAAAAATTAAATGAAAAACCGATATTATTTTAGAACATAAAAAATGAAAGCACAAAGAGTATTTATTACTTCCATACTATTTATAAGTACTTGAAAATTAAAATATCATACAAAATAGCAGTGCTGTATATCTTACCGTATAGTATAGTATAGTATAGTGTATTTGTAGTTAGGAAAATTGTCTTATATCGCAGATCTGTGGAAAGATGATTATTACAACTTTATCCTTTACAGTCTGAATATGAATCAAGGAGAAAATGAGATGCATGTCCTCAATACATAGGCCTTGGGCATTATCTTCAACACGTAACTATCAAAAATCTGATTTTTTTCGATAAAATTTTTTATTGAAAAAAGTTGGAATTGGTTTCTTTCAATAGATTTCTGACAAAGAATTTACTTGAAATCAATTTAATCATTAATGCAAATAGTCAAAAAATTTGAAAAATCCACTGATAAGAGTTCAACTTTTTGATAGAAAACTCCGTCCATATATAT